GGTTGTTATGATTTCCATATAATTTATCTTGTTGCTTTTGTAAATTCAACAAAAATAGTCATTTTATCAACCATCTAAAGATTGGCAAAAAAAAATTAGGTATAACCAAACTAAGCCAAATTTATTTTTTGAATACTCTCCATCGTTACCCCTTCCTTGAAATGCAACAGCGGATCTACAGTATACCGAGACGCACCCAATCTCCATACACAGAATCACATCTTCTTTACTGACACCCGTGACATAATTTCTCGCTGTCTCTCCATCGCCCTCTCCAAACAAAAGCCCACCGGAAAGCTACAGAGCTCCATCACCGACATCACCCCGCCAGCGATGGCGAGCCCCCCGACGCTCCCGATCTCAAGCCAACAAACCACGGCAAGCGGCGGGGCCCAATCTCAGCCCCCAATCGCCACGCCGGCTTTCCGTGCCTTCATCTCCCGCCTCTCCTCCTCGATCCGCCATGGGCTCTCCCAGCGGCGCCCCTGGACTGAGTTGATTGACCGCACGTCGATGTCCCGGCCTGATTCCCTCTCAGAAGCCTACTCTCGGATCCGGAAAAATCTTTCTTACTTCAAAGTTAACTATGTAACCCTACTGGCGGCTGTGCTTGCTTTTTCTCTTCTCTCACACCCTCTTTCTCTTCTTGTCCTCCTTGGTCTCCTCGCTGCGTGGCTCTTCCTCTACCTATTTCGACCGTCCGATCAGCCTCTGGTGCTATTCGGCCGTACGTTCTCAGATCGAGAGACACTAGGAGTTTTGGTGGTCTTGACTGTGTTCGTGGTGTTCCTGACCAGCGTTGGATCCCTTCTCATGTCTGCATTGATGGTTGGAGCCGCGATTGTTTGCCTTCACGGTGCGTTTAGGGTTCCTGAGGATTTGTTTCTGGATGATCAGGAGCCAGTGAATGCCGGATTTCTGTCCTTCCTGGGTGGCGCTGCCTCTTCAGCTGCCGCTGCCGCTGCCGCCGCCCCTGCAGTGGTCTCGCGAGTGTGAGAAATGGGTATTTGAACCACCACGTGTATAATTTTATATAGACTTTTACTAAGAACGCTTTTCACAGCCGTCCTGATAGTCTATCAAAAGGTTTTTCTATCTTGATGGTTAATCAAAAGATTCATTTCTAGGTTTCGTCTTGCTTCTATGTAGATTTCGATCTGGATTACGCTTAGAGGGTTAGATATGATTTTGTATCTGTAATATTTGTTACTTCAATTTTGATTGCAATGGGTTTTAGATTTCATTTTTAATTGTGTTATCTATATGTTTTTGTGTCTGATCTTGACTATTCATTTGGTTGTTACTTGTTTACCTTTACTGTTTCTTGCAGCTGTTTTTCTGGTATATTCTGAATCAGTTATAATGAGTAAGATATTAAGATTGTGGAGTGTTCTTGAGAAAATTCTTTAGAGTAATGGAGAAGATCATCCTGTGCTTCAACCGGTGTAAGGTGTGACACTTAGGTGTTGAGGGCAAATTTTTTGCTTTTTGAGTGCTATGATAGCAATTAAGTAACATAAGAGTGTGGTTGTTGGTGGAATGGATTATTTGTGTTTTAAATATCTATTTTGAGTCTTTCTGGAATGTGATATGGTTACAATTTTATCAGCTACCTATTGAGATTTGCTATGAGATGGCAATAAGGATTTATGTTGTTTTTAATGGTATGATATTAAGCATCAGTTTTGAGTGTTGAAGGTGCTAGAACTAATCATGGGCTTTAAAAGGAAGCTTTCTGTTTAACTTCGTTAGAATGAATTGAGGTGTATTATGAGCTAGCTAGTCAGACTGTACATGTGTTTATTTACAAGAAGGCTTATTTGGAATGAAGGAGATGTACCGAGTCTAGTTTTGCTAGAATGCTAGTTATCCATTGCTTGGTTGATATCAAATTAGGAATCTCATTAAACTTGATGATTAAGTGAGTTTGTGTGCCTGCAGGAGATGCTATGTGCATCATGCCGTCATTTTTTTGTTATGAGAATGTGATCTGCACATCCATCATTTGTGTTAGGATGAATTGTGCAAAGTGATGTTATTGGTCATGACTCATGATTTTAGTTTATTCCATTGCTTCCTGATATCATGGGGTACCTTTCTTAAATTTTTATTTTCCTCAAGATGTTCTGCTTTTGCATGTGCTCCTATGGAAGGTATCTGCAATAATACTAATGTTGGATTTGTTAGCAGATCTGGTCAAACCTACTGGATTATTGTTTTATTTTTTGTTGCCACAAAATTGGATTATGTAGTTATGTGATGCTTAATATAGAATTTGGAGATTACCTTTGCATAGCTCTTGAAAGACAATCTCTGTTGATATTTGTCAAAGTGCTATTTAACAAGAAGGTCAATGTCTTGTCTACAGTTATGTTTAGTTTATATTCGCCTGCATGTTCTAATTTCTGGAATCCATGACACAAGTTGCTCTTATTGAAAAGCCTGTGACATCTTTGGACTTAACTTTCTAATTTTCAATGCTGAAGTAATTTTTGCAGTTTGCTGGATACTGTGTTTTGATGATTTCTTTACATGTTAGTTGAACCCTCTCTCCTCTATTCACCCCATGTTCTTATGGTGTCTGCTTGTTCTAGCACAATGATCTTAAGAGAGTTGGAACTACATGTACCCTCTTGAATATTGATAGATGGATTGGAGATGGGTATTGTTATCCCAAAAAAATCTCCTTGCCTATCACTTGCTTTACTCAACAAAAAAGAATTCGCTGACAACTTTCTCTTCTTCCCAAGCATGGAATTCAGTCATAAGTTGATGGAAGAACATCATAGATTGTGTCTTGGATATGACTCTAAGTATTTTTTTAAATTAATGTAATCAGGAAAAGTTAAAATTACAAACAAGTAAATGATCATCAAACTATTAAAAATCTAAATAAATTTTAAATATGTAAATTGAGTTGAAATAGAGTTTTAAAAAAGGAAATTTAAATATAGAAAAATAAATGAAGTTAAAATAAATAAAACTAAAATTATGAAAAATTTATTTGCAGTATGAAATATAAGTTAACAGAGATGGAAGAGATCATGAAATTAGATATCGATTAAATTAAAAGAAATTAGAAAAACAACAATAAAGGAAATGAAGCAATCTAATTACAAAAAATATCACTGAAAGCAGTGAATCCTATCATTACAAAACTAACAAAGGAAAATTGAATTGTTTCCTAAGATAACTAGAACTAATTTTTAGGAGTTTTAAAGAAAAAAACATTAAACTAAAATTGAAGACTAATCTAGCTTGAAATATCGAGCTAAAATTAAACTAAAAGGTTTGAAATTAAGATAAATTTAAGTATTAAAAAAAATTGTGTTGAGTTTGTTGCGTGAGAGTGAGAGGTAGGCCTATCTTTGCTTGGTTTTTTTTTTTTTTACGTATTTGTAACAGTAAACATCTATTGACAACATACTGAAAATTTGCAACACTATCCTAAAAATTTACAAAATCTTAAATCGGAGATATCTACATCCAGAACTTTTCGAAAAATAAAATTCTTTTCAATACAGATGATACGTGGCATAATTTTATTTTTTACAAAATTAGATGTAAACAAGTATTGCAGAGAGGTCATGGTATTATAATCATTATTGAATTTGAGGAATTAAGGAGTTAGAACCCAAGTTGGGTCGGTGGCGAGGGATCAACTTTCACCAACTCTGGGACCTAGGTTCTGTTGTTCCCGTGGTCATGTTCATGGTATTATATTGCTATCGAAGGCAAGTGCTGACTTTAACATCCCTTGGACCAAAATTCATACATCAACACTCGGTGGACCTTTGGAAGACAGTGGTTTTGCAACGTTTGGTGCCCAAACAAAGTTCCAGCTCCTACTCCTGTTCCCGAGTCCCGCATCCTGATGATGAGGATGACGACAACCCTTAACAGTTCTCAGCATGGCTCCTCCAATCCACGCTCAAACCTTTCCAAACTCGCACGTGACTGACCTTATACGCAACTTGGTTTATAGGTGCGCTGCCCAACTCCATGAGCTGAGTTTGAACCCCATCCTCTTCCCCCAAAACTGCACCTGTTCAATAAAAAAAAAAAAAAAAAACCCCTTTCCAAACTCATTGATTGTCAAACTTTGACATTTCGTGGCTCTTCCCAGACCCATCACCTCTGTACCTCAGACCACCGACCCGACAACGACATCTCAATCTTTGACCTTGTAGTAATTAATAGTTTACCGTCTCACTACGTGAATCGTAAAAACTAGTTATTAAATTGTTACGTAATATTCACATGATTAGGTTTATATTATAATTAATTAATATAATTAAATTAATTAATTTTATATTATAAAATATTTTTTTTACAGATATATAAATAAACATCTTATATATTAAGTAAAATTTTCATATATCTTTATATTTTTTCCTCTTTATTTTTTCTATCATAAATAAAATAAGTTCGTGCTCATTATCAAAAACCCTAGCGATCCAATGAACTTGTTTTTTTAACTAACAAACTCTGTTCTGTTTCTGTTAGAGGACATGACAAATCTAATCATCCCAAGCTCCCAACCCATGGGAAATCTGATGATTCCATTAGCACAAAGATAGTCGTTATAGACTTGTGGTAGAGCGGTGCGGTAATAAAAGAACACCCAACTTAGTCCATGAATTGGTCAAATTGAGAAGATGGAAAAATAATGGGAGTAGCAAAACTAGCCGTTAAGCTAAGAGCCCCCATGTTCCTTATTTCGCTCACCTGACATCCTATTTTCTTCATGTTTTCTCTTCTCTTCCAACACAAAGATTTTTCTCTCTCTTAGATCTTCACGTGCTATATGCCACAGTTAAAATTTCAACGCTCGCTCTCAGCGCAAAACCCTCTCACAAAGACAAGCCCACAACCTCCATCTTCTTCCCCTGTTTCAGTCCTCCATGGTAGCAGAACAAACACGCAAACTTCAAAGAAAGGAAAAACATAGGAAAACAGCTTTTTCTTCTCCTTGATCTTGATTGATTCTTTTCTACATTGTTTTCCTTGGAAATGGAGAATCAGAACAATTTTTTTAAACACCCATTTGAGAATAAGAAGGAGAAATGGAAGGAGAGTTACCTTTGTACCCACGCTGTCCTGTTTCTTTGCCTATGTATTTGTTTTGTTCAAGTTCAACCAGCTTCAAGCCAGGCCTGGGATGATGTGATTGTCACTGCAGCAGAATTTCAAGCTCTCCAAGCATTCAAGCAGGAGCTGATAGACCCAAAAGGGTTCTTGAAGAGTTGGAATGATAGTGGCTATGGATCTTGTTCTGGTGGATGGGTGGGCATCAAGTGTGCTCAAGGTAAGGTGATTGTAATCGAGCTTCCATGGAGGGGGTTAGGTGGGAGAATCACCGAAAAAATCGGGCAACTTCAAGCTCTCCGGAAGCTCAGCCTCCATGACAACCTCATTGGTGGCTCCATCCCTCAGGCATTGGGGTTTCTCCCAAAACTCAGAGGCGTTCAGCTATTCAACAACCAGCTTACGGGTTCGATTCCTCCTTCATTGGGTTCCTGCCCTCTGCTTCAGACTCTTGACCTTAGCAATAATTCACTCACCGGAACCATCCCGGAAAGTCTTGCCAATTCCACCAAACTTTTCAGGCTTAATCTGAGCTTCAATTCCTTTTCAGGTGCCATTCCAATTAGTCTCACTCGCTCCCCTTCGCTTACTTTCCTTGCTCTCCAACACAACAACCTCTCCGTTTCCATCCCTGATTCTTGGGGTCCAACACAGAAGATTAGTTTTTCTCGACTTCAAATCTTAACCCTTGATCATAACTTAATCTCTGGAAGAATCCCTGCTTCATTGGGTAGATTAAGTGAGCTCCAAGAGGTTTCTCTTAGTCATAACCAGATTACTGGATCCATACCAGATGATATAGGGAAGCTCTCTAGACTTAGAACCCTATATCTTTCTAACAATGCCATTAATGGAAGCCTGCCTGTTAGTCTCTCCAATCTTTCCTCTCTTGTAGTGTTGAACCTGGAAAACAATAATCTTGGTGACCAAATTCCAGAATCTATTGAAAGGTTGCAGAACCTTTCTGTTCTCAGTTTTAGGAGAAACCAATTCAGTGGTCCCATTCCTGAAAGTTTAGGAAACGTTTCGACACTTACCCACCTCGATTTGTCACAGAATATGCTCCGTGGGGAAATCCCAGCTTCTCTTGCTGATCTTAAAAGTCTTGTTTTGTTAAACGTTTCTTATAATAACCTCTCTGGTTCTGTTCCAACTCTGCTCTCCCAAAAGTTCAATGAGAGCTCTTTTGTTGGGAATAATCAGTTGTGTGGGTTTAAGGGGTCAGCTCCATGCCCTCCTGAAGCTCCTTCCCAGATTGTCCCTGCCCAACTACCCGAAGAACCAAGACATAGACGTCGAAGATTGAGTATCAAAGACATAATCCTGATTGCAGCTGGAGCTCTGCTCATAGCTCTGCTTGTGCTCGGTTGCATATTTCTCTGCTGCTTGATCAAGAGGAGGACTGCATCAAAATCAAAGAATGGTCAATCAACAACGGCTAGGGCAGCTGCTGCAAGGACGGAGAAGGGAGTTCCTGCATATGGCGGCGAGGTTGAATCAGGAGAGGCTGGAGGGAAACTGGTACATTTTGATGGCCCAATGACTTTTACTGCTGATGATCTTCTGTGTGCAACAGCAGAAATTATGGGTAAGAGTACTTATGGGACTGTGTATAAGGCTACATTAGAGGATGGAACTCAGGTAGCTGTGAAGAGATTGAGGGAAAAAATCACCAAAAACCAGAAAGAGTTTGAGCACGAGGCCAATGCTCTAGGCAAAATCCGGCACCCAAATCTTCTTGCTTTGAGGGGTTATTACGTGGGACCTAAAGGAGAGAAGCTTCTTGTCTTTGATTATATGCCTCAAGGAAGTCTTGCAACATTCCTCCATGGTAAGTGAAATTGTACTACTGAATAAAAGTCTCGGTATTATTAGTTGATATCATGAGCTAATACATATTCTATCTTGGTGCAGCTAGGGGGCCTGACATAACCTTAGATTGGCCAACAAGGATGAAGATAGTGAAAGGCGTGACACGAGGCCTACTTGACCTTCATACCAATGAGAATAATACCCATGGGAATCTTACATCGAGTAACATATTACTTGATGAGAACATGAATGCCAAAGTATCTGATTATGGCTTGTCTAGGCTAATGACAACTTCTGCCAATTCAAATGTGATATCAACCGCAGGGGCATTAGGGTATAGAGCACCTGAGCTTTTGAAGCTCAAGAAAGTTAACACAAAAACTGATGTCTATAGCCTTGGAGTTGTCATATTGGAACTCCTAACAGGGAAGTCTCCTGGAGAGGCAATGAATGGAGTGGATTTGCCTCAATGGGTTGCCTCTATAGTGAAAGAAGAGTGGACAAATGAAGTTTTTGATCTGGAGTTGATGAGGGATGCATCAATCCTCGGTGATGAGTTGCTAAACACTTTGAAACTTGCTTTGCATTGTGTCGATCCTTCACCATCAGCACGACCAGAAATACAACAGGTTCTCCAGCAACTAGAAGAGATTGGACCAGAGTCAGCTTCTAGTTCTGCGGCAACTTCTGGGGATGATGGTACCGGAGTTCCTTAAGCAAGGGAGTGATATTTTGGAAGAGTTTTTGTTAGAGAAAGAGAAGTAGAGCAGAATTCTTTCATCCTTGACTAAAAATTATTGTGTTAATCTATGATGTTCCCCGTAAATATGATTCTCTCTGATTTCCTCTAGAATGTAAGAAGCCATATTATAAGGAAAGATTAAGTTGTTAAAAGAATTCTCCATTGCCTATGTTCAAAACAAAGAAAAAAATTGTAAAAGGAATTCATGTTAGAAACATTTTTTTAATGAAATTGTTACTGATGTTCAGTCCTTCTGGGACAATTCACAACTGTTACTAAGGGACTTAAATGGAAAGATTTCTATTTGTTCTGTCATTTATGATTTGTTTGGCCTTGCTCTGGTTTTTTTCTTTTTTAATTTTTTTTAACATGGGAAATTATAAGAAAGGAGAAATTTTTAAGTAGTTAATAAAAATCAAACTCCTAATTAATTGAATCCAAGCACTAATAATTCTTGAGGACATGCACCCAAAGTGCCGGTTCGGCCTTGCTCTGTTTTGCGAGAGTAATAAGGAAAAAGGTATCAATTATATGTGATGCGCAGAGTACTGGCTGCGACAGTACCATACTAATTGAATTATGCCTTCGAAATTTCGAATGCAATGATTCATTAAGTCTTAAGTTTTTTAGTGTAATTATTAA